ATTGAACAAGACAATAAAGATATTGAACAAGCACACAGTATTACAAGTTACAACTCCAAATACATTGCTATATACATACCTATATTTCAACTGCAACAGCACTGTTTCCGGTGTCAAACATTTGTTAGCAAATTCATGTGGAAAAGACACTTCCATGGCTGCCAATTTCCATACAATCCACCTATAGTGATTGTAAACCCAGGCCTCTGTTATTAGCTTGGGATCCACACCAGGAGTGTCACAAAGGGCCCTGCAGATAAACTGTTAATAAATTAACCTGAAATCTACTGTAAGTTTTTACTTGCCTACAAAGTAGGCAACATTAACAAAGGAATATTTATTACAGTGAAAACAGGAAGGTTACATTCCATAACCTGATCTGGTTATTGTCTGAAGTTTTGTCCTCATACGCTTTGGCAGCATGCATGTGCATACATGCATGCATTCTAGAAACAAAGACTTTTGGCCCTAGCAGTTGCTCCAGGGGCATGCTCCGTCTGCTTCACACAGTTATGCACATAGCATAGAGGGGGAGTGGTGTGCTCTATTCCCTTTCAGCCCTGGAATTTCCCCTGCTTGCTTGATGAGTTCATTACAATCCATCCCCTTCTACTTCACAGTTTCTAGAGTTGTGGTTTGAGTGCTTTGGTTTTGTTTCTTTTTTTTTAAGCATGCATGTGGACAACACATTTCAAAGAACTTTCAGCTACTACTGAAAAACTTTCTTCTCTCCATTGAGTGACATCTCAAATGGACTTTCATTCTGTGTTGAGTCAAAACTGTACCACCATGACATGCATCAGCTGGGTTGGAAACATCTGTTTTTCCCAGCTCTCACAGTCACTAGGAAGGCCACTTCATTAAAGGAGGAAGAGAAAGAATTAGACCAGATATTCAAATAGAGCCATTAGACTGATTAAAACACAAGTTAAGTCCTATCAAAAAGTCAATTTCCAACTTGTCACAAAGCCTCAAGAAGACTTTTAAGGAACTGTATTGCAGTTGGGTGAAGAAAAGAAACAATTTAAAAGCCAAAAAGTCATATACAGGAACATAAGGAGCAGGCATGACCATCAAATTAATTATTACTACATTAGAAGAGAGCAAAGCAATCTCAAACTTTAGGAGATACTCAGTAATCTTTTGTGAAGGACAATGCAACAGATTTCAGTTCAATATTAAGATCCTAAATACAGAAGACTAAACGAAGGCATATCTATTCTAGTTGATGGAGACCTAGTTAATATAGTTAAAGGGATAAAAAGACTGATTCAGCTGACCAACCAGTAGGTATTTATTCTCAACCATATGCTTTAACATATAACAAATCCAGAAAAGATACAGGAACTGAAGGCAACGTCTTGTGGAACAACCTCTACAAATTGCTCAAGAGTATATCTGATATTCAACATCAGATTGACACCGCCACCCAGAACAGGTTCTGACACCAAAACCATCGTGGCTATTCTGGGATATTTAGCAGTATGTTGGTGGTTTCTCTATTCTGTTTCTGAAAAAAAATGAATGGGGGAAAAGTCATATCTCTGATGGCCTGACCACAGAATTGGGAGCACATCTGAAAATAATTATTAAGACAAGCTGCCTCTGGAACAAGAAGTTGGACTGCCTAAAGGGGCCAATATTTGGCACACATAGGCATAAGATGTTCTGTGCAAATACTTTAATACCTTTGCCATTCACAGGAAAATTGTGTGAAATTAATAAAATTACTTCTAACATGCCTAAGCAGCAGACTGTAAATACACTGATCCAGTGCTGAGTTGGATGTGTTGTTCATCCAATGCTGAGTTGGATGTGTTGTTCCCAGAGGTCTACTGCTTCTTGACAAAAACAACCTCAAACTCCATGTTTCCTATTAAATTGTGTAGCGGCATTGCTTGTCAGCCTAGAAATAGCTATTTCACATGAGAAAAAAAATGACCAGCATGCTTTCTAAAACGCATGCAACTCCAGAACACTGACATGTAGGCAAGAGGTCCTGCACTGTAATTTGCACACTGATGAACATCCCAGACAGTCTTTTATGCATCTACCATAAACGCTTTGTAGGAACATTCCATCTAGGCAAGGTATATGCCCAAAACATTCAACACTCATGTCACCACTGGAGAGAAAGGCAGAATCAGGGATGGTATCACTAATAGCAAAATACTTGCCAAATGAGGAGGAAACAGACAAGTAGCAAGTTAGGTCAAGTTCTGCATACTCTGCCTCTGAGTGACTATGTAAATGCGTATGCCCATACATCCCACAGCTGTCCATGAAACAGGGCATACAATGCCACAGGGTGCAAAATGGAACTGTGGGAGAATTAGCTCTGCCTTACAGTATTTAGAAAAAAAACGTGATCATTTCTAATGACTGCTCTGAGAAAAACTTGGTTTATTGTCAGAGAGACTCAGGAACTTCCAGAGCAGCATGCAAAAATTCTTAGAAGCAATTTCTAAACAAGTGAAAGACAAGAGGGTGACTGGGAATGGCCAACATGGATTTACTAAGAGCAAATCATGTCTAGCCAACCCAACTGATTTCTGTGATGAAGTAACTGGTGCCGTGGTCAAGGGAAGGGCAGTGACTGTTGCATATGTTAGCAAGGACTTCAACAATTTCTTACAGTATCCTTATCACAAAATTAGCAAGATACGGGCTAGATAAGTAGAAAAGGTGGGTGGAAAATTGGCTGGACTGCTGAGCTTAAGGAATTGCGATTGACAGTACAAAATCCAGCAGGTGGGCAGTAACTAGTGGCACCTCTCAGATACCAATACAGGGACCAGTGTTGTTTCATGTCTTCATTAACAACCCAGATAATGGCATGGAACACACTTGCAGCAAGTTTATGGATGACACGATATTTGGGGAGAAGGCTGATAAACTGGGGGGGCAGCGTTGCTATTTAGAGGGACCTGGACAGACTGGAGAAACAAGCTGGCAGGAATTTAATGAAATTCAACAAAAGCAAAGTCTTGCACCTGCGATGGAACAACCCCATGCAACAGCAACAGTCTGGGGCTGACTGTCTGAGAAACAGCTTTGGAGAAAAGGATCCAAGGTCCTAGTGGACAAGATGACCATTAGGCAGCAATGTGTCCTTGCAGCAAAGCAGCACATCCTGGGCTGTATTATGAGTGAAGCCAGGAAGGCAGTGATCCTTACCCTCTTTTCAGCACTTGGGAGACTACATCTGAAGTTTCTGTCCAGCTTTGGATTCACTAGGACAAAAATGCTGCTATACTGGAACAAATCCCGCAGGGGCCATCCAGGTGATCCCCCTGTGCTCTTGGGGGCTAAGTACATGACATACAAGCTAAGAGAGCTGGATCTGTTTGAATTTAAGAGAGAAGGCAAAGAGACCTTATTGCTGTCCACAACTACCTGACTGGAGGTTTCAGAGAAGACAGGGACAGACTCTTCTCAGAAGCACACAATAATAAAATGAGAAGCAACAAACACAAGTCAGAACATGGAAAATGCTAATCAGAGATAAAGGTGGTGGTTTTGGTTTTTTTAAACCATAAGTGTGGTCAACTGGCACAGGCTGTCCAGAGAGATTGTGGAATCTCTGTCCTTTGAGATGTTCAAGACTTGGCTAGACAAGCCCCTGAGTAATTACTCTAATTTGAATTGTATTGAAGAGGGGCTTGGACTGGATGACAGCCAGTGGTCCCTTCCAACTTAAACTATTCTATGATTCTGTGAACTCCAGCACTTAATTGATCTTCACTGAGTAGTTGTTGAGTATGGATACAGAACATCTCTAGTTCTCCCAAGATGAACAAAAATTGTTGATATTAAAAACATTTCCCAAAGTCATGGCAATGACTTTGGCATCAAAAATGTTCCCCAGAGTCATGTGGGAGAAGCCAATAATGATGCTGACTCACTAGCAAGAGCAAAAAGCATTTTTTTTTTTTCATGAGGAAGTATAGCTCACAATGTGGAAGTACACATCTTATACTAGTCAATTTTCCTATATTGGATTACAGGCACCAACTTCATCAACTCAAACTTTCAAATACAAACAGTCCTTCAGCTTAGAACAGACTTCTCTCTGTCACACTTTGGTACTGCAAAGCAAATGTTGCAAACCTTCTGAATTCTGATACTATATGTAGGTTGGCAACGCATGCTTGACTACAAATACTACTCAAATACAGTCCCTGCCTTAAGTGTTTGTGTGAATGCATACCAACAATGACACTGACTTGAAAAAAGAACACCCCAAATTTACAGAGAAAATCAGAAAATAATGGTTAAGTACTTTCTGAAGTTTTGCTGGAACAACAGTACACTGGTAGTTCTTTGTTCTGTTGCACATGCTTTTGATGAAGTTATAATGTACAAACATGCTTACAATCAAACAAAACGTATTTTTTATGAAAGCATTTAGGAGAGATGCACTCAACACATACACTTTTTTCCCAGCTTGTCTTAAATGACCTGCAAAAGGAGGGATAGAAGGAGCAGGAAGAGCACAAGAGCAAGGGTTGTTTGTGCACCTTTTTTTTTTTTTTTTATGTCTTACATATACTCAAAAGAAAGCTTTAATGAATCCCTGAGTTTTACTACTGAAGTCTTGGCTTCCTCCAAATCATACACCAGCTTTAAAAGAATTATATTAAAAAAAAAAATATTTTCAGTCCTGTCCTGCCACAAAAGCACTAAGCACCTCCCCTGTCAACCTTCATTCCCATCAAGAAACTCTAGAGCCCAACAGAAATAAATCCTTTTCCACTAATTAGCATTAATGGTAAAGGGCTGAATTAACAGAAAATAGTAATATTTTTCTAGCTTTACAAAGTTGAAGAATCCCCAGAAATTTTCTAAATTGACTTTGTATGCTTTTTTTAATGGTCAGTGAAGATCACTAACAACATTAGTCTACATAGTAAATTTACAATCCTACAATATCTTTTTTTACACTAACAGAGGTGTACTAAAAATGCACAGTAAAGTAGTCAGAGGCTTTACAAGATCACTGTGTTGGATTTATTCTAGGGGATAACAGAACTAACAAATAGCATACTTGTCTCAAGTTCATAAATAACAGTACCTGTAAAACTCCTTTTTCCCAGCTTTTCCCTCATCTGTAGGTATTAGCCATCCTCCATCGGCAAGTTGCATCCCATTTCCAGCTAATAAATACTCCTTACTGAAAAAGTCTTTGATGAGAAATTGGAAAGATTCTGCATTTGTGCTGTTAACTTCTGTGCAATGTTTTGAAACACCGTATGTGTAAAGCTGCAAAAAGTTAGATGTAAAAGACAAAATAATGACAATACAGTAAGAATTCAGCTGAGAGTTTTTATATTTAATGTTATAAATTGTTGTGGTTTAACCCAGCAAATCCAAAACACAGCAGTATACCAGCTATCATGAAGAAAATTAACTCTACCCCAGCTGAAACCAGAATATAAATTCAGATAAAATATTTCCTTGAGGCTGAGACAGCTTTTGTCTGACTTTGACATTTTGTATGTAATCCAAGGAGAATGGAGGAATTCACAGCAACTATTTCAGCAGAACAGCAGCAGCACAGTGTACTTTAGAAGTGTTTAAAAAAAATCACAAGGTTTTGTGCCTTCACTGTACTAAAAGCAAGAAGCTTTTGATACAGACATACCTAAGCCTAAATTTTGACTGTTATCCTAAACCAGCTCTTCATACGGGTTTAAAGTCAATAGCAACTACAATTGGTAGATTTCTTCCTTGTTTGATGTTTCTCTTGTTTGATTATAACACTACAGAGACATTTATGACCCTTATTATTTGGAATAGTCTTAAAAACTATAGATATGCAAAGCTACTTAAAAACCGTAGAAACTGGGATAACAGCTACTGTAATACTTATCTCAAAACTGAAGAGTGTATCCATTCAAAAGCTACTGAGTTTTTGTTTGCTTGTCTTAAGGAACAGTTTCCAGGAAAGACACACAATACAAAGATACCAATATACCTCTTCCGTAGAATAAAATCTAGGAGATTTCTCTTCTACTGCAGTTTTCAGAGAGATTCTATTTCTTGCAGATGTTTTAATGACATAAAGACAGCCTGGCTGTGAGCTAATATTTTGCCTATATTTCTTTTTAATTCTCATTTCCTGCAGATCTCTGGCACAGCGGAGATTTGTCATCATCTTGACCATAGCTGCAAAGAAAAAAACTCCAAAACATCAAAACCTTTTTACAGTACATATTGATTTAAGATATACAGTCACACTATAACAGCAGATTCAGAGAAGCATATTTTTCTAAGCCACTCTGCAGACTTTTAGGAACTGCAACAGTCTAAATATTCAAAGTTTAATGCATTTTTAAAAGTACTGTTTACTGAAGGCATTTGAAAATATTTATAGGAAATGAATCTATAATTCCCTGAATTAAACTTAAATCCACATATTTTTCTCATTAGACTGAACTCTATCTTCATAGAAAACTCCAAGTGAACAGAAATTAGTTTATGATGACTATAAGTCCATAATTCTGAGATTTTAACCTGTAAATATGGGATCTAATTCTGCAAATGCTCATGCACCTGTGTAAATATACAGAACGAGTCCTTCTGAAAAAGTCCAGATGATTTCATTGTAATTGTTACTGAAATTATACACATGGGAACATTCAAGAGAGCTTAGAAGGTATAAGCCCACATACTAAATAAAGTCAAACTGCTGAGCATTTAAACTCTGCCTCTTTGAAAATGACACAATTAGCCATTTATGTGGTTAAGCCTAAATTTTAATTTGGAAAAAAAAAACCAACTTAAAAAGCTTCTTGTTATTTAAAAAAAGAAGTCTGACAGAATATGCAAAACCCTTAAAAGTTCAATTATGATAGTATTCACAATAGCTAAGTGATCAAAAACTGAAAATACCTAAATTGCCATCTTCTAGCTCAGTGTCTGCTGCATGCTGGATGCAAGACTGGTGATCTTGAGATTCAGCAATATTTTGTTCAGTTGTGATCTGATTTAATTCCGTCTCTTCAGTCATATTTTCGCTGATTGGTGAGTCATATCTTTTGCTGCTGCCTTGTTCACCTGTAGAAAATGTCAGCTTGGTTTTGAAGGGTGGAATAAAAGTTTTAACAGTTTTGCCAGACTTATACAAACTTCTCGTTTCTTCGCTGTCTTTTGCAGAGTCCTTATGTGGAGTAGAAAACCCTGAAGTACCATTTGAAGAGTGGCATAGTGCATGGTGCTGAAAAATGGCAGGTTTAGATTTGAATCCTTTGAAGTCTTGATCTGGTAGAGTAAGGGTAGGATTCTTGACTTCTTGTCGTTCTTTAGTAGCCCTATCGAGATGAAAACATTTAAACATACAAGTTCCAGCTTTCTGAGAAAAATCTTTGTCAGGATTTTGATATACTTAATTTAGTAATGAAACTTTCAACACTACATCAATAAAAAGACAAAATATCAGTCTTTGACATTCTAAAAACTGAATACTTCATTTCTATCTATTGAAAAAAGAGAAATACAAGTGTAAAATTTGTTCACTGGTCTACTGCAGCAATGTGTGTTATATAGTAATTTAATATGTTTATTTTCAAGTAAAAGTATTAGTCTTCTATAAAGTTAGGTAGCAAACTATTACCATATATTTTTTAAAAGTTACAAGAACTTAAAAGGTTTTAAGAAATTGCATTCTCTAAAAGGAACTCGAAAATATATTATGAATTTCTCACCCAAAAGGTTGACAAGTTATGGGTTTTAAAGGAACATGGTATATGAATTTTCTTCTGTCTTTGAAAATGCCTGTAATTCGAAAAAAAGTTTGAAAGGGTACATTACATGGCTAGATATTTACAGCACATGTTTTTTCTATACTAATGTTATAAATATATAGAAAAGTTTCCAGAGTGGATTCAAACAGCTTTGTTCTCCCCCCACTTCCCCCAATAAAATCTTTGTACATAACACTTCACACTAGTTGCAGACAGATCTAAAGGATAAGTGACCACAATGCAGAACTCCCAAAAGTTCCTATTTGTGAGCCAGCAAGATGTTTTTAGGCTCCTACAATGGAAATGTTTATCATATATTTAATTTGTGGTAGGCTCACAATTCAATTTAGAACTCTTTTAGTAACTTTTTTTTTTTTTAAGTTACAACAGAAAAGGGCACATTTGCACACACTCCTCCTTCCATCATTGAAGGAATGCTTATCTTGGAATTAGGAACATAACTAAATCATGTCTGCCTGGAATTCAAACTCATTTGTGCTATGCTGAGTTTCAGATGAGAAGTCACATATACAAGATGCCACACATTCTAGAAGTTAGAGGCAAGACTGTACTGGAGATTAGAACTGTTTTCAGTCATTCCACCAAACAACAACAGTGTTCAGACCCTGCTGCAGGGCAAGATAATATTTACATATGAAGGGTATAAAATTATTCTCTATCAGCAACTTAGAAATACCATTTAAAACTTTCTTTAAATCATGGGGTTTATATTTAGAAAAGATTTGGGACAGAATTCAGGAACTAATATACTGGTTAAGCCAATATATTTGATGAGTGCTGCTACTGAATTCTAGGTGAGAGCATGCAGTGCTTGGAAAGAACAAGTTCTTTAAGGAACACACTTTATCCCATAACCAAAAGCCGTAGCCAAAAATCACATTATCCTAATACCCTAATCACTAACTAGCTTCACATAAAGCATCAACTCAAACTTTAAAACCCTGATTTCACTTTCATAAGACTCCATATTACTGGCTCAAAATATTAAAAGCATCTGTAATGTAAACACCTATCAGTAAGTATATTCTTCACAAATTATTATATGAAATTACCAGTACCATCTAATTTCCCTGTAGACATATTTTTTGAGAAATTACAGATCAATAAAATATATTTGTCCTAGTAAGACTAGAATTTATGAGATTTAGGATTGTGAGAAACTGGATAAACTCTTACTGAGCTAGAGTTCTTGCAGAAGTAGTACATTGTAATATATTTGGATTCTACACAATAAGGCATACCATTAATCATGTGATTTCAAGTCAGCAGAGACATTACCATAGCAGCTTCCCTGAATTTCCATGACTATATTGGTAAAAGAAGCAGCTAAACAATCTTATTATATGTTAGTTTACTGGAAATTGAAGAATTCTAAAGATAACAACTGACATCAGATTACTGCCTAGAACACAAGAAGACTGAAATTACCATCAGGGGTGCTTTTCAAAGCTTTCAAAGATCGGGGGGGATTCTTTGTTCTGTTAAATTCAAGCAGTAGCTGTCTTTTAATTGGAGGCTCTCCTAGGATAAAAACACAGATTTTTAAAAGTGATGTTGCTTTTAAGTTCAGTTTTCTACCAATACTGTAAAACTTAATTATAGTTTCTAAATAAAACATTCAAGAAGTCAGACCAAGCAGAAGTAGCAAGTCTTCATACATCTGTATTAAAAGGCCTTTTTGAACACCTCACCCCAGTTTACAAAGTTTCTTCTGTACAGAATGACTGTATACTGTATTACCAAGAATGATTTCAGGACTCCATATAATGAAGTCTGTTGCAGAATCTTTTGTGGTCAGTATGTCTGTTCCATCCAAATCAAAATTTGTGAGCCTTAAGTTATCAAACATACTCAGGATAGTCTGCCTCAAAGTGCACCACAGTGGACTTCAGCAGCACACCTCACCTGCATCTTCTTTTGTACTTTCAGTAATCAGAGTCCCTACAGAATTCTAAAAAACCATGTAACACATCTTTTACAGAAAGTGTATCTAAGGATGTGGTTTAACTGTGTCACAGTTGTTTGAAGTTGGACTGATAGAGTCACTTCTGCCCTTTCATGCCTACCCAAACTTCCCTGTGTGAGCCTGCCCAACCTTTGGACCTGAACTTGTGCAGCTAGGCTGCACTCTGATGCAGTTTACCCTTCCATAAATAGTGTTCAGCTGGCCCAGGTCCCTGAACAGGTCTAAGTGACTGTGCAAGCATTGAGTGCCAACACTTCAACCCTGAGGCAGATTAGTTTTAGATGGTAACTGCACTTTTAGACAAACAACTATTTTTCATATCAGATTAGCAATCTCAATACAAGTGAAACCTTGTCCTCACCTACAAGGCACAAAAAGGTGAATATGGAAATACTGTTAATTATTTTTTCAGGAAAAAACATTAGATTTGTGCAGAGGAAAAAAGAAAAAGTCTGCTCAAAAAGAAAAGGAGCAGTAGCTTTCTTCCATAACAGCAACATAACATAATAAAACAGCAAAATCTGCACACCATCAAAATTACTGATCACGAACATAGTTTGTATTGTGCATTTAAAGCTGTAAAGAGTGTATGAACTATTGCCTGCAGCAAGAAGAAAGATCTTCAGCTTCTACATGACCTAAAAACCAATGTGACATGCATAAAAAACCCCAAAACAACCCACTGTGCAGAAATAGGGAGTTGAACATATACACAACAAAGACTTACCAAGTGAGTTTTTTTCTTCAAAGTGCCTCTTCCCAAAGGACTTATTTTGAAAGTTTTTATCCAGCCTGCCACTGAAGGACTGTGCAGCATTAATTTGTGTTCCAGAATGTGAAACATCATCTTCCATAAAAGCTCTTGCACTTTCTACAGCCTCCACTTCCAAGTAATTTTTTGGAGTTTCGAGAAGATTAATATTCGTTTGTGCTTTAGCAGTAGCACTGCATGAACCTGCTTCTGACTCTGTTTTCATCCCCAGATTCAGCTGCCCTTTTCCAAAACACCTCGTCTCCTCTTGCTGCAAGCTATTTTTAAATAATGTTAACTGCTTGTTTTTCTTACTATGTGGTATGTACTCAGGCATTTTGACCTGGTGAGTGCTTGGAAAAGACTTCATTTCCTCAGGGTAGATGCTTTTTAAGTCAATGTCTTGACTGCAGCTTTTCTCAGTTTTGGGTTCTGGGATCACTTTATCATTTAGAGTGTTTACATGTTGACCACTCTCTTTAATTGAACTAAGTTGATCTGTAATGCAAAGCCCACTGCTTAAAAAGCCATCAGATTCTTTTAAAATTGCCTTTGCTTTTTGATAGGCATTTTTAGAGACTGTTACCTGCTTTCCACTTGCAGTGTTGAACCCAAAAACTGGATCCGAAATCAATTCAGCACTGGCATTTTCTTCCCCTTTTGGGAACGCTATCTGCATTTTCCTAGGAACTACTTCAGAGTGCATTTCAGACTTTTCAGCACCTTCCTCAACTAAATATGCTTCTTCTACATGTAATGAATGAATACCTTCCACTTCAGAAAATATCTGTCTAGCTTTCCTGAGTGACTCTTCTGATAGTTGTACAGGCTTACCACTTGCTGTACTAAAAAATCCAAGGCTGCTTATAGAAGAATCTGGCTGCTTTATCTGCTTATCTGAAACAGGCAACTGCCCTAAAGGCGTAATACTCTGTTCAAAGCATCGCCTCTGAGAATTTGAAACAGACTTTGCATCTGCAAATGTGCTTGTATCTTGGTGACCATTTTCACTAGGACTTGCATCTACTTTAATAAAATGGAATGTGGCTGAATTAATCTCTTCACTTCTTGTAGCATTTAAAAACTTAGTGGAATTAGAACACTTAGCATGAATGACTGAAGATGAATTTCTGGCAATTTCTGTTTGATTAATTCTTGAGTTAGTCTCAATTTCACATTTTACAGATTCACTGTAGTCTTCTTGAAACATTTGTCTGACTCTTACTAATGCACTTTCTGAAACAGAAACTGCTTTACCTTTTGCTGTACTAAACACAGTTTGTTTCAGATCACCCTTTTGATTTTCAACATTAAGTACTGTTTCTTTTAAGCTGCTAAGTAAATTAGTTTCATCTTCAGGAAGACTGACTAGTGACTGGTTTTGGCAAGCATTAACTATGGTGTCTGTGAAGCAGTTTGTATCAGCACGAGGTTCATTTAAATATTCCAAGTCAAATTCCTTACTGTCACTGTTCAAATGAGAAGAGCTACTTTTTGAAGTTAAAAGGAGGGATTGATTAGATTTATTGTTACTATCCTCAACAAATAAAGTATTTTTTGTAACTCCAGGCACAGATTTATCTTCGAGGTCATTTGATACCTTCATTAAATGCAGAGATGCAGCAGAGTGCACAGGAAAATCTTGCATGTTTTCTGAATCATCCCTCCTTTTTGCTGAGTATTCTGTCACTCTCTCCACAAACAGTTTTCCATTTTCAGACGTCTGAGTTCTACTTAAAGCTTCACTCTGCTGTCTGGGAAGAGATTCCAATTCTGACTTTGCAGGTCCGACATCAGCTTTTTTATGTGCATATGAATTTACCAAACTTTTTTCACAATCTTCACCTGGATTAACCAATTTATCTACTTCAACAGTATCAAGAATCACAGCGTGGTTAATGGGACTGCTCTCTATCGTCTGCTTAAATTGATTTCCTGGTTCTTCAGGAACAAGCTTTTTATTAAAATTAAGTTTTTCTGGATCACACTGAGCGATGCTTTCAATACGCAAGTCGCAGTCTTTACCACATTTATTTTTCTTTAAGGGGTTCTCAAAACTGTCATGTTCCTTTCTGAAATCAACACTTTCTGAAAAAAACTCTTCAGCTTTAGCCAAAAATCCATCAGCGATTGTTATTTTCTTGCCACTAGCAGTATGAAAACCAGTCAGATAACTCCCCTTCACTTCATTTTTTTCAACATCCACCTCTTGCTGGAAAGGTATTTGATGATGATAGTAAGAACCTTCTTTTATTCTGCTTTCATTCACTAACAGGATCTTATCATGGGTGGTGTCTTCTCCTTCCATATTTTTACTATTTGTCTTTTCTTTATCAGAGTTCTCCGAAACATTTACATCTCTTTCTCCACATTTTACATTAAGCAATTGAAGAGAATTATCCAAAGCTGCATTGGAAATGGATATATCACCACCAGCTGGAGTTCGAAATTTTTGTGACAAGTGTTCATTTTCCTGCTTTCTGTCTTCTCCTTTCTGATTAGGAGACAGGTTTTCATCTGATATACTTAAACTATGTTCTTCTGCAGTTGTAAGAGCATCTCCTAGACATGTTACATCTAACGAGTCTTCTTGCAGACTGCCTTCAACTTGGCAAGCTCCTTGATTCAAAAATAGTTTGGAATTTTTATGATCCTGGTTATGCTTTTTAATGGATGATAAACTGTTGATGATAGTGTTAGTACTATTGAAATTAACATTTTCAGAATAATTTATTGAGCTTTTTGTCTGATTTTCCATATTTTCCTTAAACAATGTACTAATATTTTCCTCATTTTTTTTCTGTGCATGGTGGGAAAAAGAACCTGTGGGGGAAATGGCATCTATGCTTTTGATATCTGAAACACAAACTGTTTTTCCTTTGTTTTCTTTTGTCAGGCACCTGACAAAATTACAGTTAGAAGACATACGCCCATTTGAACCGTGACATCTAGCACTAGTTCCAGAAGATTTAAACAAATAGTAATCATCATCCAAGTCCCTGAAGAGCTCTGCAGTTCTGTTCAAAGCAGCCTTAGAAATGTTTATTTTTTTACCTCCAGCTGAAGTAAAGCCTACAAAATTAGAAAAGCTGTCCTGTTTAGCTACTGGAAATCTCTCATCAGATATTCTACCTTCAGTTCTGTCTGAGTTAGTAAAAGTAACCTTTCCGTCATTTTTATGGAAAACCACCGCATTTTTTTTCTCATATTCCACCACTTTAGAGTCTTCATTTGTGTCTTCCTGCATAGTAAAATGCTTGTCACTTTTTACTTGATTTTCAGATTTAAAAGTGTTACAAAAATCAGCATCTTTCCTTGCTTCAGAAATATTTTCCACATTCTTTGTTCCACGTGTTTCTACAGTTCCTAATTGTTGAAAGGCATGACTTTGTATCACGTTACTTTGCTTTCTAAACTGTGTAAATTCAAACTGACTACCTGTTTCTTCCAGGATACTCGAAAGTTCAGCAATTTCAGCTTCTTGGCTTGCTGTCAAGGTTTGATTTGTTTCTTGCAAGGATTGTGGACTTCTAGGAAAGCTTTTACATAAGCCAACTTTATCTGGAATAAACTGTGTATGCCTGGGCTCAAGAAAACTTGTCTGTGAATCTAAAGAATCAGATAAATTAGAGCCCAACTTGCTTTCTGAATCTGAGAAAAACATATTCTCCTTTTTAACTTGATTTGAAAAGTTTCTGACTCTTTCCATGGAATAGGCTTCAGAGCATTCATTTTCAATATCTTTGAACAGCATTTTGCCTTTTGCTATACTGACTTCAGAGAATTTAATCTGCTTATTGGAAGCAGTCTGAAAGCCACCAAAGCCCAGATTCACACTGCATACATTAAGATTTACTGATGATTTCCCTTTGTACTTTAGGTTGTCATTTGGCTTTTTGCTGGAATACATAGGTGCTCCTTGCTTATCTTTTTCAGAAAATACTTCATTTAAAGAATTATCATCTATACAATCTAACAATTCATTAGCAGTCTCTACAGCTACATTATTGAAAGCAGCTGCTTGAGGGCTTTCATTGTTTTCAACTGACTTTGGCTCTTCATTGTTGGCTACAACTTCTGAAAAGGCAGCTGCATATGTTTTCTCCCCTTGTTTTAATTCAGTACTATCATTTTCTGAGCAGTTTATTCCCAAAGGTCCAAGTACTTCTCTACAGTCAACTAGTGACCACTGGTCTGTACCATGCCTTTTATCAGTTGACATTTTATTACAACAGTCACTACTGACTCCACTTAGGCCAAAGTTGATCTGACTCACAGAGTTATTGAAACTACCATTTGTCACAGACATAGTGTCATGGTGCACATCAATCAAGTGTTCATTATCCCTAGGAGAAGACCACGCAAGTTCTTCTTTCAGGCTCCGAGGTACAGTAGCTCCATTGTTCACATTAGCACTCATGTACTTGTCTTCTTCGCCTTTCTCTAAACAACAGCTTTTAGGGAGAAGTCTGGAACGCTTTCTTGCCATTAGGCATGCTGAAGTTAGAACTTTACGTTTTATATTTGAAATTATTTCACTACTTAAAGAATTTGTTTTGTCTTCTTCCTGTGTATTAGATACTTCTAAGCGTTTTAATGATGCAGCAGGTTGGCCCTCTCTTGCATTTTCCCTCAAGTCTCTCAGGTCTTGTTGCTTCAGCCTGTCATTGAGGGAATGATCAGATGAGTTACCCATTCTATCCATTTTTAAAGCACAAGTGCTGAAATTATTTTCGTTGATCTTCGGTTGCAAACGCTTTCTCTCAGCAAGAAGCAAGCAATCTACAGGAGAAGACATTAAGAAAAAGTTAATTTGGCCTATAAGATCATTTCTACACGTGCTTAACACTGGTACCATAAATATCACCTTTGTTTTCAAATGTGAATGCCTTGACAAGATTGGAGATCTGTTTAATCTAATCCTGTTCTAAGAGCCAGAAACAAGTGAGTAGGCTGCAGTTAATGCTATCAGTTGAAAAAAAAAAATCAATTTTTAGTTGCAATGAAATTTGAAGAGATGGGCTTCCGTTCCTTGTGTCTCATTTGTTTCAGAATTTAAGAAGTACTTCAGACTCCTAATATTAAGTAATTCTAGCAAGAACAACAGCTTTTAAAAATAGGAGTATGTGCTTTCTTTCATATACAATTTGTTTTTTAAAATATTTTGTGCTTCTAGAAGAAGTAGTTTTACAGTCTTAAACCCCCTAATTTTAGAAAAATAACAATACAACTTTAACATTCTTTTATTATAAACTCAGACAGGATGTTCCTTGACACTACAGATGTCTAAATAGCATTAACAAAGACAATTAGTTAAGCTTGTCTATGAGAATGTGGAAGTTTCTACTCCAGAAGCTAATCTGAGACTAAACCAGTAAGTTAGCACCAGACTACTTAAAAATAATGCTATTCTATCACTATTATTATAACAGACTAATTCCATATCTTGATTCCCAGTTGCAGAGCTAGTTTATGACACACACAACATTTACACAATTTTATCTGAAACATGTACATAAAAGGTTCTTAATAAATAAAGAATCCTCCACAAATGATGAAAAGCTTAATAACATACCTTGCTCATCAACACTGGCCACATGACAGCCTTTAAATTCATATGAATCAGATTCTAAACGTGGTAATACATGATGAATAGGTGATTCAGAGGTTACTTCTTTCTCTATTTTTTCTTCTTGATACAGTAAAGTATTATTGATTGTATATATAAATCTCTTGGATCTCTTTCTTAAGCTGGATAACATATTCAGCCGTTTAAAGCCAGACTTTTTAAGAGTATTTTCACTACTTATTGAATGTGGATCATTGCAATTATCTGGAGATGTAGCACTACATACAAGTGGGTGAGACAGAACGTCAGTGATGATAGATTTAGAAGTTGCTTTTAAATGCTTGGAAAAGCTGCCATTGTAGACTACAGAATACTCCGCGACATTTGTACTTTCAATTAAAAAAGAATTACAGTTTAAGAAGCTTATTTTGGAAACCTTCTCAGCTGCACATCCTTTTACTAACTTTGGATCTTGAACACTCAGAGGCACGGATTTTACTGGAGTTATTTCCGATGTTGAGTTGTTTTCAGAATTTTTTGCTTCATAGCACTTTTCTGACAAATTGACACTTAAGAGCTTTTGTGCTTTTATCAAGCCTGAAGTATTCAGTAAAGATGTTTCCACAGCATCATCCTGGGTCATTAGTACTGAATTCTCTTCTAAATTTGTCTCTCTACATAAGTCAGAGGGTGGAGAGCAACATGTAGACATTTCCAAGTGAGTTACATCAAGATCAGATAAGTTCAGTTGAGACCACTGGCTTGAAGATGGCACGTCTTCTGTCACAGGCTTCTCGTTCTCAGATGACTTGTGTGTTCTATAATTTTGTGCATCTCCTGCAATCCTAAGTGACTCCAATTCCTCTTCATGTCCTATTAAACAGCCATCTTTACCATCCTCTGTATCTTCATCTGTGATTTGGAGTAAAGAATCCTTCATTTCAAGTGAGTGGCTTTTTTCAGTCAAGCTAGTTTTCACTTCCTGTGAAATACCAGTCTTTCTAATAGACCGCTTGGAAGGAACATGACCCTTTCCTTGTGCTTTATCTGTGTTTATTTCACATTTCTCTACTGCATCCAGAGCATGTGGCATCAGCTGGAGGGTTCCATTGGACTTAGGAGGCATGTTGAATGTATCCTCAAAGCTATTCATCTCACCAAATAAGCCATCGAACATCTCCGACTCTAAATAGTTTAGAGAAGGCGGGGAGAGGAAAAGAAGTAAAAAATTAAGTTTTAGGAAATAACTTAGGAATAGCATTGTGTTTTTATAGGTAAATACAGCTTTCAATTTCATGGCAATTACCTTTACTCAGGAGTGCGTTTGGAAAAGTAAATCTACATGGCTTTAAAGTAGGTTACTTTTCAACAAGCAGCTTTAGAGGAAACAGGAGACTAAGGACATACATGCAGATGACCTGGCCTCCTAAGTACTGTGGTGGTTAAGCAGTTTCCAAGATGAAACATAGGGATGTCAAAAGAATTTTGGTTTTTCTACAGAATGAATTTTACAAGATAAATGTCTAGATTTTTTTTCCTCCAAAATTTATACCAGATGGTAGACACCAAACACCTTAAGAAACGGCCTATTTTTGTCTATAACTGGCAGCTAAGGAAACTGTTACGTAAAGATGATTCTAGTAAACTATCTTTTGCATTGATATAGAATACTATAGTGTCTAGAAGAATTTAGAAAAGATTGTAATTTTTAAAATTTATGAGGAAGCTTTCAACAAGTTCCAAATGATTGGCACAAATACTAGAAAAATAATGAGAAAATTTGTTTGTGTAGAGAAATAACATGCAGTGGGGAAAAAATAACCTAAACTCTACAGCATAGACAGCCTTAAAAGCTTATACATACCAAATAAAAATATTACCTCCTCAAACGTATGAAACTAGGCCTACCTATCAAATTATTTCACATTCAGAAAGATAGTTAGGTTTTATTTTGAGAGTACTTTTTAAGGCTTTTTCATATCAAATAAATTGTAACCAAGTACCTAGAAAACATCCTTGTCCTGTTTTCCTTGGGCACATAACCAATAGCTTAATTTTTTCATAAGTCTTTTTTAGGTACAATTTCTATAATTTAGAACTATTTTGCCTATTGGAACTTCTAAATAAGCTAGCGTACAAAAAATTTTCCATTTGGAAGTCCACAGAAGATTTCCCAATACTTGCTCACACACATCCAACTATTTGTAATACGTCCATTAACAGTTTATGCTCATGCTGTAGGCATAAAGCCACCTCTCTCTCATCACATCTCTCTAACAGTTACCCATTCTCTTTACTTTCTATTTTTTGCCTGAGTGGCAGAAGGTATCACTAAACAAGATCTCAAAAAGAAGAAACTGTAACACTACAGATTGAGTGTACAGGTCCTTATCCCTTATTGATGCGCGTTCCTCTCGAGTAACTTCTGTGTCCACATCCTTTCATCCTGTAACAATTTGTCAACAGAGCTTTCAAAAAGACACAGCTGTTTTTCTTTTCACTTACACAGGATCCATTACCTTTAACTGAAAAAGAAAACCAGGAGTATCTGAACGATACTGGCCGTACACTGAACAACCTGATGCTGGGGAGGGCAGAGGGCAAAATCAGGGATGTTCATTTTGACTTCGGAACACACTGGAGGGTCAGTGAAATGACAAACCCAAAACCAAGGACTGCACAACAGAATTCTCCTGTTTTCCCAGTAAGTGCCCTAACTAGGCAATAACTTCTTAAATTTGTTTCCTCAGTGCCTCTCCTTCTGGGTAAGTAATACAATACTTAGGGGAAAAAAACAGAAAAAAGAGGCTTAAGCATTAGATGTTTCTGCTCTGTAATCATACATTGACTCATTGTTAGAACATATTGCCCCATTTCAGGGTATTGAACCTATTCCTCCTACGTCATGAATAGTTCTAGACACTGAGGTTAAAGACAGACCATTTACTGTGATCAGGGTTATAAATGGAATGAATGATGTAATTTTGGTTTTTGAATTAAAGAGTTTAAATATGAAGTTTAGGGCAACAAGCCGGGGTAAAAGTATCTAAAATGTTACAGAATTTCATGTTTCCCATCAGTTTTTAAATTTAAATAGCTTCCCAGTCAACATGCTGATTACTATATATTTGAAGAATCTTAACTCTGAATCCATAGTTATAAACCTACAGTAAAGCTGTGAATTCTGCTACAAGGGCCAGATACCTAAAGCTTAGTGTTATAATGACCAGCCTTAGACTTATTTAGAGACATAAACCTTAGGAATTAATGATTGGGTTATAAATTAATATGCTTAATGAATAAACGCAAATTTAGCTCCTTCTGTAAAATTCTTAAGTGTTAATACATGACAGTACATATCTTGCAGTCCATGGCTACACTAAATGTAAACAGTTAAAAAAAGTTCTCCTCTTCCTCCAAATTACAACTAAAAAAAAATACAGCAAAAAACCTTTGAAATATGTGGTAGTTCTTCTACTTTGGACTGAGTGCATATACTCAGTCTCATTGCTATTACAGTCACAACTTATACAATATAATCTTTTCATATCCTTAAAATCAGGTAGGTATTCACATCAATATTATGACCTCTCTTATTTTCTTTGACTGAAACAAAATGTCTACCTAATAAAACTGATTGTCTTTCATGATCATACAATACTATTCAAAAGAAAACCAACACTTGAAAGCTACAAATGAGGAGGTTTGAGCTATCCTTCTTTTCACATTGCATCTTCAAATGCCAAGTTAACTATTATTAAAAAGGGAAGACAGAGGAAAAGAGATATTTGCAAAAGTTATTTTGCACTTCAAAAGAAATAGGTTTCTTCTTCCTCTTATGTTGACTCAGACATAACTGAGACATAAGAGTTTTAACTACTCTTCTTTATTGTAGTATGGGATGTAATGAGCCATTTTGGAACAGAGAAGAAGACATTAATTTGTCCTTAATTTCTCAATGTATTTTACTGACTACAGATTACTTGAATATGTTTACTACCAACTACATTTTTCTCAGCATGTTTGAATCTACAATATAAAAATAGCAGTATATATCACTCTGCAAGCAAAAATGCTTCCTGACCCCAGCATTCTCAGCCATCCTTGTTAAATTCTAAACTGATTCTTACATGTACCACCAAACAGTATTTTTAGGGCAGCCCATTCAATTCAGACAAGGAGACATACAATCCTAAGGATATATTGTCCTATCTAGCCCGTGTCAATCTCTACAACACACTTTTACACCCATGCTGAACAAATTTCAGTTAATAATCTTCCCTTCTGCCATTATTTCTCAACAAAAATAAAAAAGCTCACACTATAGTGTACATTTTCACTTGTTCACTAACATGATCTAAGAACGTAGAATAAAAACTTTTTTTCCCCGTGGATGAGCTTTTTCTGCATTCATTTAAAAAAAAAAATCAGTATTTCTTTTTCCTAAAGACTTTGTCACGTTTTTAACTACTAATAGGTAAAGTAAATGAAGAAAGGATATAGCAAGATTAAAAAACAAGCTCACCACAGAATAATGAGTATTGGGGTGAAACTTCATGATAAAGCTAAACCTATTCAATAGCTAGAAGTAGTAGTCTTGCTCCCCGTTGAGCCTGTACCATTTTTCTCTCTCAGCTCTCCCATACAGTCTCATACCTTCACTTACACCAGTACTCATCTGGTTGTCATCCAGTGGCACGGTAACCTGATTTAATTCAATGACTCAGCAGAAACTGAGTCCTTTTTTAAGGCTAGATTAGTTTTACAAAGTTGAATCAATTCAGGAAGTGGGAGTACACAGTTGGCAAAGTAAATAAGCCATAAGATCAGCTCAAGACACACAATGTGACTTCACCCTCAGTCTTGCTTCACAGTAGTAAAGCATCAATGCATACCAAAATCTTTGATGTCATCTTCAGCATTTAGCTTTACTGCCTCTGGTACAGACAGCATACTTTTGTCACTCATCCCAGGACATTTATCACGGTCGGAAAACAAGTTGTGCAAAATCTGTAAATAAAAGACATCGGCTGTTATACTACATACCAGTAAGTACCACTTCAGCAGTAAAACATGCAACTCTCAAAATTCATTGCAGTATCTGAATAATTATGCATCTCTTAAAATGAAAAGTAACATTTTCACAGGTACACTTGAAAATAAATAAGCAGATAATCTCCATTTTCAGTGCAAATCAGGTTCTATTCTACAGTCAATTTAAGGGCAGTGAATGGGTTCAGCAGTTTATTACAAGCAAGCCTTTCAAAAAAGAACATAGGAGATAGGAGGAAGAAAGACTTTTTTCTTATTTTAACTTGTAGCAGTTTGTTAACTGTGAAGTTGCAGGTAGTTAAGAATCAAACGTAAATTTGTAAATGAATCCTCTTAGCGCCATCCTCAGTTTTTAGTCTAAATAATAATTCAGCTTTCATATATACAGAGTAAAATTACAATTATGCCAGAAGTTTCCCTAATACTATCAAAGGACTGAAATTAATACTCAGTTTCAACTCTTGGTGTAGTGGTTGAACAGAAGGTATTGCCAATCGGTAACTCCCAAAACTTTGACAAAAGAGAAAGTAAAACAAACCCTCAGATAAATACCATACTGCAATTCCTGGGTTTGATTTTTCTTTGAATGACTCCCACTGCTGCTGAATCCAAGTGGTTTGTTGTTTGTTTAAAAAAAAAAAAAAAACAAACAACAAAAAACCAACAACGAAAATATTTCTCAAAGAGGGTTATTTGTGTGAATACAGTATACAGCCAGGTTTTGCAAGTTTAGTTATGTGAGCAGTAACTTTTAAAAATAGCCAGATAGGAGAGCCTAGAATGAAAATGACAGTATTTTTCATTCTTGGCTCAAGAAATGTAAACATGTAACTTTAATAGCTTAACTGAAATAACAGAAGAGCTCAGCTCTTAAAACTACTTACTATATCAGCTCTTTCATCCTGTCGCTTTGCTCCAGAAACAGAATCACTCTCTCTAGCTTCAGAAGACAGACAGACAAGTCAATTCATTTGTTCCTAAGTGATTTGCTGAGTGTGTTTGAATATGGTTGTGTTTTGGGAGGGTTTTCATTGGATTATTTTAAATACAACTGAAATTTGTAAACAAAAGACTACTAAAAACTAACTAAAAGTTCTAACTAAAAAGTCCTACAGGTGAGGCTGAGGGACACTGTATAAAAGCAGTTTCATAACAGCACAAAACACCCTAAGTCATAGGTTGAGGTTTCTGCTATGTAGGTAGACCAGTTAGCACCCTGAGACCCACCATCACTGCCTACCCCCTTTCAAGCAGTTATTCATGGCACTACTCTCTTTTTTTTCAGTCAAAGGATCTGGATGAGATCTTCAAGCCTCTGTCAGGAATTTGTTTTTTTTCTATATTCTCCCACAAGAGCAGTACTACCTTTCCACCTACATTACAAAAGAAGAAAATGAACCCTGTTTTTAAGATGCCTAGAACAGTATATTCAAATTACATGTTTCATAGACATGGCATACATGGCATCTAGGTTCCATGTAGCAGCCAAATGACTCCCTCTTTCCATTCACAGAAGTCAGATGGCAGAGAGTGGGCATCACTACTATAAAGTACTAGGCTCATCCAGGAAGAGTGGTTTGAGCTCTCATTCTCCCAGCTTATCTCCCACAAAAGCATCATTAAACTATGGGTACTTCCCCCAGCCTTTCTTTTCAGGTCATCATTCTGAACCTACAAATGCACAAAATGGCACAACTCAACAGCCTTGAGAATAGTACCACCCCCTCCTTCCCAAGAGAGATTCCCAATTCTAGCATTCATTCTTAATATGCTTTATATAGTGATAGTTTAACAACATTAAATAGAGCAATGTCAGGAGATAAGCAGTCATCCAGGTCTTCCCATTTTCTCAAGAGTTTTCATCAACAAATCATACAGTTAAATTTCATTTTATCATATACTAATGAAATCCCACTTACAACAACACCTTAGGCTGAGGCTAACAGCATCACTATTAATTACCACTTAAACAGTCATCACCCACTCATTCTCATTCACCGTTACGCTGGCACACTGTTTGTGCAGCTGCGCAGTAAATGAGGTCCAGGAATTGCCCTGTCTAAATAACCCAGGAAATATGGTCTTCAACTGGATCAGTATCTCTGTCTCACTGCATCAGTATGATGTTAGGCACAGTGAGAGGGGTTAAAAATGCTGAAGCCAGCACTGCTGCTGGAAAGTTTACTCAACAGGCTACCTCCTTAGACTTCATAAACATATCCAAATGACTTAACCTAGTAGTATCTAGTTTTGTGACAGTGCAAAGTTATCATTATCTAATCCTCTTTCTATGCTTTGTTATATTATTTCTAAATTTATATTCCCTAATCCCTTGTACAAAGGAAGAAAACTTCTGAAAAGCAATGACACAATTTCATTTCTTCCTTTTAGGGCTGTAATATTTAAAGTCACCCATTAAGCATCGCTGTAAGAATTTTGTCCTTTTTAATTAAAAAAAAAAAAAATTGTCAAAACCAGGAATTTTAACCCTTAGCAACTGCTCACTTTTACAAATACCTATTATCACCGTTGCACCCAGTGTAGGAGGTGTGGCCAAAGAACTTGACCAGGACATATCTGGATCTACTTCTGCTCCCAGACTTTCAGAAATACGTTTTGGAGTTCTGACCTAGAAATACATTTAACAATTATTTCTATGCAGAATTCTAAATGTACAACTCAGGAAAAAGAAAACAAAACGCAGAAATAAAATATTTACCTCCAGAAGTTTTGGTGTGCAAAACAAGCTCACATATGGTCCTACAAAACATTATGTAATAAGGATATTAGATAATATCCAAGACATAAGGATTTATATCGACAGATACCAAAGAAGTGAAAATACAAACCAGGCATATTATTTCTCTGAGGTGTTCTGTAAGTATTCCTTAAAACAGTTGGACTGCAAAACAAAACCAAATAAAAGAAATATTAATTTCACTTCTCAATTTCTGAAAATAAGTAACTATTTCAGACATTACCTGTATTACCAACTCCATCCTTTGCAACGATGGCTATTTCACTGACTAAATAAAATGTAGATTTCTCCTAACCATCAGTCAGTATTTTAAACCTTACCATAAGTTTATTACAAACTGTAAAATGCTTCTTTTATGAAATATGGTAATTTTCAGTGATTATTTGTCTGACAAATAATACAACAGATTTCAATAGAACCAGGCATTTCTTAATATGCTGTATGAAACTACAGAAATTGGCTTAACTGATTTTAATTATATAATTAGTTTAACTATTCTTATAATCAATGTGAGTATTTTGACCAGATTTATCTGAAGCATATACATTTAAACGTAGAAATCAAGGTTATTACTAAAAAACCTCAGTAAATATTATAAATAGCTTTACAAATTACTACTTGAGAAGCACATGATACATCACTACTACTCTTTCTTGCATTGGATGTTGAGGATTTGGGAAGCTGAAATAATGTCAATAAATGCCATATGTGAAGGAGTATAAAAATAGAGAAGACCACCACCTGAAAGCAAGGAAGTTTTCAAAATTAGCTAGCATTTTATTTTCAATTCATTTAGCAACTTACAAGTATCATAAACATACAAGACCTACAACATTATTGTCTGCTCTGAAGAAGTCTATCTATCAAATACGAATACAGTGGGTTTAATATTTCTTTTTGCTTAAATCAGTTTATTTTATATTTGTGTTGACATATTTAGCATACCTAGCAGCAAGGCAGTTGCGGCAGGTACCAGGAGGAGAAGCAAGTATTTCATTTTCTTGATCTATCTTTCTTCTTGTGATACTTGGGCTTATAAAATTCTCTCTGCCTACAACATAGAAGTTAATAATCAACACAACCTTGCAGAACAAGTAACAGTTGAAGTTTAAGGATAATCTTTAAAAAAATTAAGCAATGTCTGATTTTTAGTTAAAAAAACACCAACAAACACCAACCAAGTACTACCTTTTCCTCTAGTGTTTTGAACACGTTCAAATTCTATATCCGAACAATGCTAAATACATTTCAAATGCACAGCCTAAATGCTCATTATGTCACTTTATTCATTTGATATGTATGTGTTTCAGTGTATTTCCTTGGTATTATTCAGGTCACATATCCCATTTCAGTTTTAGTATACTGTTTTGTGCCTTTCTTGTCACTGCAGAAGTTATTCTTAGGAGAAACTCAATACATGCAAACATGCATTTGTACCAGCTTTCCCTCAAATTTACTTAAGACATGCACTTCATGATTTGAATAATCGGCATAAAGCAAAAATTATTTCTGAACTGTTAGTGGAAGCACTGTCATTGGTAGCAGTATCTATTTATATGCTATGCATCTCCAGGCAAGAGAAAGAATGTGCCCACCAAAGCAGCAGAATCCTCTAAACAGTGAGCCCCTCACATGAACAAAGAACTACTCAAAACAATTCCTACTCAGAAATTTCCAAACAACTTCCGTATCAGAAGTTACACCTAGGTTTCTGCATTTCTCTCTGCTTCTCTGTTCTCGAGTCCATATGCCCAGCACGGCTGCATCCCAGTACCATACCAAGGTGAAATCCATCAGCTTCCATCCGTGCTTCTTGTTTTCACAAGAAGGCAAACTAGGAACACAAGCCAGCTGGCTCTAACCAAGAAAACCAGAAGAAAAAGATCTCAGGCAAGTCACAGGTAACTATAGAAACTTTGGTAATAGTCATCTTCCCTTCCTTAGGGAGCAGATACAACTGTCTGCATGCACAAGCACAGAGCAAAATTAACCATTTTCAAGAGAAGAATCATGAGGTTCCTTTGTTTGTAACTTATGAAATGCTACCAGGAATTCAGTAGGGACTTACCCTGTAGAAATCCAAACAGTTAACCATGTTCTCAGCTGAGAATAAGTTGAGCAGAAGTTCAGCAATAAACTTAAGTGAAACAAAGAGGGTAGCAATATTCTATGGAAGCAATGTTAAACAGTAACACAGTTCTACACCTTTAAATACCTTACTTTGGGATCTAAGAACGTGTCTTGTGTTCATCTGTAACCTGTTTCAAAGAGTTTCTCTTACTGTTAGGAGGGCACAGACACAGTAGATGTACAAATCAGATATTGCAGGAATAGGGTTAGATATTCTTCCATTGAAAAGATTCTTATATACAGTCATGCATACATTCTCCATAGAAAAGATCCTTCTTTCTCTCTACAAGGAAAGGTACTATGGCTTGCAGGTACATCAAAAAGGAGCAGAGTGATATGTACATTCATGGCATACTTGGGATTTGGAAATAATGTAGTGAGAAGTACCTCATAAAAGCAGTAAAATTCCTTGTCTCCAAATGGCAAAGTGTAACTTCTTTCCATGACTTATAGTTTTACTAATTCAAAGAGTGCAATGCTTCAAAATCTTTATACGAAAGTTTAAGGAGTGCCCTACAGATGGCCTCATACTGCAGCACGATAAGCATCATTCTCTCTCTTGAAAAGATTTTCAGAGATTTTTAAATAAAACGGAAGTCAGACTGCTAAAAAAATTCACTCTGATTCTCAGTCACCAGGTTACCCTAATAAGCTCATATGTTCATTATATTAATAGTATTTAGAGTATTAGGACTAGGATAATATCTCTTCTACAGGGAACTTTGCATGTACATTACCATTGTTTATTGCAAGGCTGAATTCATTATCGAGATTAATTTTGCATATTTAGAAGTGATTTTCAGAAGCCGACTAAGATAACCTTTTTACTCATACAATTTACAGAATCACAGAATCACTAAGTTGGAAAGGACCTTCAAGATCATCAAGTCCAACCATTAATCCAGCGCCAGTAGCATTGGCAATTTCTGCAGTAGCATTGTCTATTACATTAATAATCATCAGCTAAACAAAAAGTAATAAATAAAAAAGTCTCTTGTTTCTGGAGGACACAAGCAGTCTTTAAGTACCGCTTTAAAAAAAATAAAAGTTACTCACTTGCTCCTATTTTTTTCTGATCCAGTTCTTTTCCAGGAGAAGAATAAGGTGGCAATATCATATTTTCTTCTTTAAAAATCAGTGGAGTTGATGCCAGCTGACTGTATGTGGAGGGTTTTGCTCTTGGAGTTTTAAAAGATGTTTGATCAAGCCAGCCAATGGGACCATCAAGTTCTCCTAACAATTTAGGCTCATATAAGGGTGCTTCTGCGCTGAGTTCTTCAAACCAATTGAGACTGATAGGCCCCAGGTCTATGAAGAAAACCATACAGAAAATGACATTAAAAAAAAAAGAAACCTGACAAATGGCATGCAAATAACACACGACAAGTATCAGTTCATATGCTATTAAACCGGGACATAAAATAGAATTCTTCATTCTATGTACAATACATATAAGAGAAGCACATAATTAGATTTAAATTAATTCAAATTTAATGCTCCACGCAGGGTGTGAAAACACATTCAGCACATTTAAATGCTAGCAGCAAACCACGTTGCTCCTTCCATTGTCATCCTTTTATTTCCAGATAGCTTTGAACTCTAATACACACAAAGTATACAAAAACACCTGCCCAAATTCGCAGACCATTAACAAAACTAATCAAAGAGCAAATAAATATCCACTTTGTTTAAAATTAAAAATATACATATGGCTTTTAGTTTATCTCTTATTTTACTCAGACTGGCAAGCTAAACAGGTTCCTTCTAACATTAATAAATCATACAACTAGAGATGGATTTGGCAAAAGACTAAACCTGGCCTGCACGCAGGTACATAAGGAAGTCACAGATAAAAAAAAAAGTACAAAAAATAACTGAGCACACATTATGAAAAAAAAAGCTACAAATACAATTTAAACATATTTAAAAAGGTAGATATTAGAGAATACAGATTTGAGGCAAATAGAGCTGCTAACAAGTTGCATAACACTTTTATATGGAATACACAGTGTATGGAATATGTGTTTAGAATAGCAATATCCAGAAAGCAACCCTAATAAAAGTTATTTACTGTACTCAAGCTGTACCTGATTCACTGCAACGTGCCTTAAATATTTCAAAGAACGTCAGTCTTTCCACAGGTTTGTAAGCCATTTTCTGATCCATAGCATTACTGGAAGAGTTGTTGAAAAACCTGAGAAGAAATAAGAAAACACTTTCATACAGTGCTATTTTAATGTCATGGGGCAGCAAGTCTTAACCCTGCTTTCCTGCATTTCTTGGGAGGCATGTCGTAACCCAACCTGTTTAGCTTTCAGACTGTGATGTGTGCGTGCAAACACCACAATGACGAACACGGTACGAAAACAACAGACAAGAAAAGCACAGGGAATTATACCAGAGATAATAAAAATACTAAGCAAATACATGAGAAGAATCAAGATGGAATAGGTAAAACACTTTTGAGGTATTTTAAATATAAATGAAAAAATCCACACTCGTTACTATACGTTAGAATATGTACTATTACATATAAACTCTTAAAACTTATGTGCCAAGAATTTGATTTAAAGTTGCTCTCAAATGGAGCGGACATTGCCAGTTTCACAGGTCTGTTAAAAGACAGGTCTAAATAAGACTGCCACAGAAACTTTCCTGTTTATTTTCATACATTTATTGTTTCCACTGTAAAATCAATCCCACGTGATAGCTGTTTTATACACACTGCCTTACCTAAACGAAGGGAGAAACAGGCGTTTAAAAAAAAAAAAAAAGGTAAAGAAACAAAAAACTTCCAGGAAAAAAATTCAGAAATACATTTTAAAAGACGAAGCGACCTATCCACGCTGCTTCCCGTTAGAGAAAGCTCCTACCGGGTAACCCCCCCACGCACGGGGCGCTCACCGGGTCACCCCGCAGCGCCGAGGGGCCTGAAAGGACGAGCCCCAGCCCCCTT